TTCTTGTTACATTGATCCTTTTATCTTTATGTAATATCTTTCTTTGTTTCTTTTGATCTTTGTTGCATTGAAATCTATTTTATCAGCAAAAATTGCAACTCCTGCTTTCTATTTATTTATTTTAGCTCTCCATTTGGTTGGTAAATTTTTCACCATCCCCTTGTTTTGAGTCTTTATGTATCCTTGCATATGAAATGGATCTGGATGTAGCATATCAATGGGTCTTGGCTTTTTTTTGCCGGTCTGTGTCTTTGGATTGGGGGATTTAGTCGATTTAAATTTAGAATTAATAACAATATATGTGTGTTTGATACTGTCATTTAATGTTAGCTGGCTGTTTTGCCCATTAGTTGATGCAATTTCTTAAATATGTTGATGTTCTTTATTTTTTTGGTATTTTTTAGAAAGGCTGATACTGGTTGTTCCTTTCTATTTGTAGTGGTTCTTTCAGAAGCTCTTGTAAAGCAGGCCTGGTGGTGATGAAATTTCTGAGTGCTTGCTTGTGAAACTAAGCTTCACAAGCGAAGGAAAAATAAAATCTTTTGTGAACAAGCAAGCACTCAGAATTGAAAATTTTTATTTGTGGCTGGTTTTATGCCAATTTAAAGGATAATTAAAACTACACAAACTGAATGCTCCCTTAATTACTCAGCTCATATTTTCCCTATGTAGCTTACTGTAACTTTATACAAAGTGGATTTCAGCATTAGAGAGAACTACATACTTTGGTTTTTGTTAAGAGGCCCAAATGTCTCTGAAGTATATAAACAATAGTTGATACATATAAAAACAATAATTTAGACTGAAAATCATGGTAATAAGACAGCTAACATTAATTGAAAGCTTAATGCATGCCAGTTAACCAAGGTCTCAAACTTCAATAGCCTTTGTGCCTATTCAAAAAGATTGTCCTCCTAGTGATTCTCTTAAGAAATATTCCTTTCACTGTTACTCTATAAATTTGAAAAATGCCTTATTTAAACTAATTATTTTTGCTGCTTAAATGGCAGCTGTGGATGACAGAAAAGTGTTTCTCTAGGACTGAAAGTTCAACATCTGCTGTTTTTTCAAGAGTCCCACTACCAGACCACAGACAAGATTATACCTTCATTGATTGCTTTTCCTCTTCACTGCATGCAGTCATGATTTTATGCCCGGATTTAACAAGTTCATCAATAATATCCTTGTGTCTCAAAATCTCCATGGTGAATGTCTGTGATTTACCAAAATAAAGACAAAAAACAAAACAAGAAATTGTATGACTAAAATGAAAACAATTAGGTGAAGTATTTAAAAATACCAAGTTACACCAGAGGGGTCTTAAAAGTAAATCACACAAGCACATTTTACAGACTTGGAGCACGCCAGCAAATAAATTATATGGCAATTGGAAATGTATTTCTTCACCTTTTGAACTTGAAGCTGAGCAGAAGTCTGGTCTTGCTCAAGCCTGATGTCACCCAGAGACATCAATTTTTTTTCTGTTTCAGTAATCCAGGATAACTCAGCATCAGCTGCTTGGTCAAACTAAACAAAAGATAAATAATTAGGTCAGCACGTTCCTGTTTCCAGAGCCAGAAAACACCTATCTACATTTCTTTGAAATATCCTTATTACACAAGTGGAAAATCTGAGCTTATCTCCTCATGCATCCTAAAATAATTAGCGATAATAACTAAGTTTTAAAGAAAGAAAAACTTTCCACACAAGCTCTTAACACATGTTGGATTTATAGCACTACATTAATGATTTTAGGACAGCTGGCACTACTGCCTTCTTTTGGGGCAGTCTTAATAATTTGCATCTCAGGAATACTGACCAAAAAATTACCAGTTATGAAAGCCAACAGCTAGGTATCATCTTTCAATAATTTCACCCATCACTTCAACGCCTACAATATGTGCTAACACTCTGCTATCAAAGTACATGATTCCTAGAAAAAAGAATAGAGTATTTCCATTTATTATGCTATTATGTTTATAAATGTTATGTGTAAATGTACATCTCTATGTATGCAGAGAATACCCCTAAATAATTCAAGTGTAATTTTTAAGCATCTCATTTAATGGCAGAAAACATTTTTAAGAGCATTCTTAAATAGTGTAAGAGATGTTATTTTCCTGATCATAACAGTAATTTATGAGTGCAGTATAAATTCATAAAGCAGAGAAAAACATACAGAAGAAAATTAAAACCTAGAGTTAACACTCTTGGTATTTTAGTGAATTTTCTTCCACAAATCAAGAGAGAAAGATTTGTAGAAATGTCTGGGATGACGCTGTGTAAACAGCTTTATATCCTGCTTTTTCATTTACTATGAACATTCCCCGTCATACTCCTTTAAACATGATTTTGAAATAATATCATATTCTAGCATACCTGGATTTTAGCTTTCTGCATTTTTGTTATTACACAAACAACCTTATAATGAATATCTGTACATAAATTTCTTTTCTTCTTTTTTGTTTTTTTTTTTGAGATGGAGTTTTTGCTCTTATTGCCCAGGCTGGAGTGCAGTGGCATGATCTTGGCTAACAACCTCTGCCTCTCAGGTGCAAGTGATTCTCCTGCCTCAGCCTCCTGAGTAGCTGGGATTAGAGGCATGCACCACCATGCCCGGCTAATTTTGTATTTTTAGTAGAGACGGGGTTTCGCCATGTTGGACAGGCTGGTTTCGAACTCCTGACCTCAAGAGATCCACCTGCCTCGGCCTCCGAAAGTGCTGAGATTACAGGTGTGAACCACCAGGCCTGGCATCTGTACATAAATTTCTCTTGGCATCTCTAATTAGCTCCTTCGTGTAGATTCCTAGAAGTGACTATCAAGTCAAAGAGCATGAACGTTTTCAATGTCTTCCATCAGGTAAACCCCAGTGACTTCCAGGGCCAAGTAGTTACCATAAATGAACAAAATGGGCCTGTGACACCACAGAACCGACAATAAATGATCGCTAAAATGAACTCAGCTGGAAGAATTAATGAGGAATGGACATTCTGGCTATTCAAGTTCATTACTGCTAGATCTTCTAATTTTTCAAAGGAATCTGGAAATCCAGATGAGGGTTGGAAAATAGGTAGGTGGGGAGAGAGATGGGTGGAGATAAGAAACTCGGTTTTTTAAAATTCTAAAACTCACTGCAACACTATGTCAATTCATGGGAAGATGGAGTACATTAACTTTTCTCTGTTCTTCATGATAAATACACCTAAAACTCATGGGCATTACATAAGAAGACTCCTCAAAGTAGAGAGACTAGGACAGAACTGCTATGGACCTCAGGCTGCAAGGAAGAACACAGTGGTGAGTTCTCTGGGATTTTCTCTTTGCCTCACGTATCTAAGACTAGATGCTGGAGAAAATGGCAACCACACAACACTAATGGGTACAGACAAAGTCCCAACACAAGCCTGCTCTCTCTAGTCAAAGGACCAGGAAAGGAGTAGTTTAGCAAAACAGACAACTTTTAAACAATAATCACTCTGTTCCAACCAAACACTACAGAAAATAATGGTTGCTCCACTCACACTCATGCCAAGAAAAGAAAAATGGGGGGCCTACACTTCCTCCCTTGTAATGCTGTGACAAAGTCCCCAACACTCCTGCCAGGAGACGTTAGAGAATGCCAAGTAGGGAGCCGAAGTTTCACCCCTTCTGCACAAAAACAAGGCCCCAGACCATCATGTCAGTGAAGACCATATGGGGAGACTGGGCTTCCACCCCTACTAAGCAGTAAGGAGGTAACCCTCCCTCCTCTCCTCTGGGGTGATGTCAGAGAAGGCCTTGTGGGGAGTCAGGATCTTCACCATCTCTGTGTGTTACCATCACAGTCACCCGCACTGTGGTACCAGTAGAGACCACACAGGGAGCTGGAACTCCCACTCCCACCCAGCGGAACTGACAAGCCATCCCCTAGGTGTCAACAGAGGTTGAACTGGGAACCGGGACTTCTACCTTCACCTGGTAGCACCCCCAGGTTCTTCTGCCAGAGTGGCAACAGGGGAAGGCAGCTAAAACAGAAAGCTTAAGCTCTAACACTCATAACATCATATAAGAGCCAGGAAAATCTCTAACTAAATTAAAGAACATAATCAAATAGATGCCTATACTGAAATGGAAGACCTGTTAGAATTATCTGACAATGATTTTAAAGCAGCCATGATAAAAATGCTTCAATGAGTACTTCTGAATGTTCACAGTTGAAACAAAAAATTAGAAGGCTTCATCAACAACATAGAATATCTCAGCAAATAAAAAGAAAATACAGTATAAAAAAGAACCAAAAGAAAATATAGAACTGAAAAACATAACTGAAATAAAAATGTCAGTGGATGAGCTCAATGAAGGGGACAAAAGAAAGAATCAGTGAAGAAAAAGAAATTACACAGGCTGAATAACAGAAAATAAATTAAAAAATAATCAGAGCTGTAGGTACCTGTGGGACTACCACTGAAGTCCTAATATTCATGTTATCAGAGTCCCAGAAGAAGAAGAGAAAGAGGTTGTGACTAAAAAAACACTTGAACATTCTTGAGATAACATTATAGAAATAAAGAATAGCTTTGTGGCTGACAGAAGTTAGGGAGGATAGAGTGGGATGGAATGGGTGTGGCTCACAGAGCAGCATAAAGGATTCCTGTGGTGAGAGAAATATTCTGTATCTTGACTGTTATCAATGTCTGTATCCTGCTTGTGATATTTCACTGTAAAGATGTTACCATTGGGGAAAAGTGAGTAAAGGATCCAATGGGATTTCTCTGTATTATTTCCTACGACTGCAGATGAATTTACAATGATCGTAAAACAAGTTTAATTTTAAAAAGACATTGTATGCCTGTATCAAAATAACTTACATACCTCATATATATGTATATATCTTCTATGTGCCCATAAAAATTAAAAATTAAATGAAAATATATTGAATAAAATTTTTTTTAAAGAAAGGAAAACAACTCTGTGAGTAACCTCTCACCTGTAAGTTCCTATTTGTGTTTTCTCTCTTAAGATATATACTGCCAAACTGCCCTTCATATAGAATGTATTAATATATACTCCCACAAGCAGTGTTTTGCTATAATTTCATCAACATGGGGTATAATTTATTTTTTAATATTGACAATTTAATATTGTCAAGCTTATAGGTAGACTTTCTGTAATTGTAAGAAAACCAAGAAACCATTTGAAAAAAAAAAAATCTACCTTAATCTGGTTCAATAATTTCTATGATATTATTTAATTTCAAATGGAGTTATTCATTAGCAATTATTGATCAATATGAAAACAAAAGAAAAACATTTCATCAACCAATTCAGCAGCTTCACGTGTGGAGAAAGAATCCCCATGAAAAAGAAGTGAAGGTCTTCTATGAGGATTGTGACTTTCAAAGGCATATACAATGAAGCTATAGTTAAAAACTGATGTGATTTACCTAAAGAATATAAGACTGAGAAAAACAGTCCAGGCTTTTCTACCTGAGTATAAATGCTGCAAGATACCTGAATAAAATTTAACAATTATGAATTTTTTTCTTCTACTGATTCCTGAAAATAAATAAAGTGACACCCACTCCCATCGTTTGTGTTCAGCCTGACAGTATTTATATCAGAGTCCTCATAAAGAAAGTCAGGCTGTTAAGTATTAATATTAGTTTAACACTATGTCTCCCCTATTAAAAAAAAAAAAAAAACTTTCTAGCAGTAAACAGTATGGTGATAACCTCTAAGTTGCCAAAAAAGGAAAGCTGAAACCCAAACAATGTTTCTTGGATCAAGTCAAACATTTGCTCTTAAAAAAAAAAAAAAAAGGCTTCAAGCAGAAATTATCCTTCTGCCATTTGAGAAATTTTTTATTAAAACAGCAAATATTGTTAAGCAACAAACAGAGTAGCTACAGGATCTCCATTAAGTCTACGTTAAGTAAGTTATAGTCAGGAGAGGCATTTTAGGTCTATGACTCACTCAAATGACCGGTTAACGTGTATTTCTAATAGACCATAAAAATGGTTCATTTTACATGTAAGCAACACGGAAAACAATATACTAGGCCAAATTTTAATGAATTTGTTTACTGCTCATACAGGAAGTAAAATTTGACTTAACATAAAATGTTGATAACCTTGGCATCCATAATTGCATTTGGGGAAATACTTTAATAGCATCAGAGGAGTCTAACCACCAACTCTAGTTACCATCTATTATAGTTGAATTAACATTTCAGGAATCTTCTAAAAGTTAGTGCAAGACATTTTAAGTGGCTACATCTAAATATGCCTGAAAAACACTCTCTAAAACAGTAACAGCCAGCATCCCACTGAGCACATTGTTCTAATTGCTTAATATGCAATAACTCCTTCATTCCTGACAACTGTATCATGTGAGTACTGCCATGAACTCCATTTCCAGCGTAGAAAAATAAGGTAAAGGGAAGTTAACTAACTTACCAAAGAGTACTCAGGTGGTAAATGCTGAGCCTGAGATTCTAAAGAAGGTGGTTTGATTTCTGGACCGCCAAAGTTGGACCACCTTTGTTAGAATCTCAGGCTCAGCATTTACCACCTGAGTATTACACATTACCACAACGGTCAATACATAGTGGGTTTTAACAGAGGTTTAAGGCGAAGTGACAAGCAAACCTTAACCTCAAGGATATCCTTTTTACTCCCTTCCCCTGACTGGGGCGCTTATCACATTCTTTTGATTAGCATTTCCTTTCACTTTGCCTCTCATTATTTATAACACAGCCCATATTTTCCCATCCACAACACCTGGAGGGACTAAACAAATCTCATTTCTGTAGGATATGTTTTCTTCTGGTCCTTTAAAAGAAACAAACAGGTGGTATTTTTCTCCAGGCTGATTCCTAATGACCCAATGAGTTGTTTGGAATAACTGCACCCAAACCACCAATCCAAGGGCCTTTATAACAGGATTATTATAGGGCCTGCTTACATAAGCCAAGCAATTAGAACTGCTGAAGAATGTTTGGGATTCCCAAACCCTGTGAGATATACATATTTTACCAACTACTGATAATTGTACATTATAAGAAGCAAAGGACGATGAATTGCGCTGAGGCTTTAAGAATCAAGGCAGTCTGAATTCAGAACCCAAGTCTGTACATCTTTCAAGCAAAAGTGCCTTTCCCCATTTCCACAGGGCTTGTAGAAAGAAAGCAACAAAGATATGCTACTCTGTGTATGTTTAAAATGCAGAAATACGTAGTTTCTAACTCAGATGATGGCAGGTACTATGAGAAGGAGGCAGTTTAGCTCAACATCATTATTTACGAAGCTACCTTGTCCCATTCAGATTCTTCCTAAAAGTAATGAATGGGCCCAATTACTTTACAAAATCATATCCTTTTCAGATTATCAATGCCTGCAAATCTGGAATCAGATCTGGGGGCTTGGTGGGTGGTATCAGCAAAGGTACAAGTTCTCACTCATCACCCATTACCGAGGCTGTTCAATTTTTCTCAAATAATAACAAATAGGACCTTCATACCTATGTTATAAAAGTTCAATGGCAAATCAAAATTTTTTAAAAACCTAAATTTATACAAGGTGATTACAAAGTATAGGCTATTTAGAAGAAATCTGTATGTTCCCTTCTGTTCTCCCTTCAAACTTTTAATTCTTTTCCATGTTTTTCTTGACATCTTCCGTCTGGATGTTTAAAAGTCAATACATTCTGTGATTGTGGCTTGACCATTCACAAAGTGCTTATGCTTTTGTTAAATTACAAAAAGCAGGTTGATATTATAAAGGAGGCATATCTGTATACACGCAACCTTAAAACTGGGAAAAAAATATGAAATATCTTAAGAGGTATTTCTGGTCAGAAAACAGAACACCTAGTCATTTAAAATCTAATTTAACTCTCCCTGGTTTAAGTGGGACAAATCACTAAATCCATAAATTTTAAATTGTGAAGTATTCAAGGGCATGTCCTTACCCCATCACTTGTGGATGTTGGTAGGCTGGGGGAAGGGGTCTGTGGGAAGAGTCACAGTTAATAAAATAAATTGCATATGACTAAAGGTGTGCCTAAAAAGATGAGCTCAGGTCATATCATGTCCATATGTCATACAGAAAACAGATTCGGAATGGTAATTTGTTTAAACAATATAAAACAGTCCAAAATATGTGGCTAATATCTAGATCTAAAGATATGCTTTTTTTACCACTCCTTTTTATATTTCATGGATGTATCGTTATTGGGTAAAACAGAAAACAAACATTTTTATCAAACTGTACTCTGGTTCTAATTCCAAACATCTAAAAGTAGGCAACCTTATAAAATATTTCAGTGATATATTAGCTCCTTTATAAACTTGAAAATCATGAGTTTAGAAACTTATAAGTGCAAAGTTCCCACCATACCAGAAAGACAGGTACCTACTACTCTATTCTTAGGCTTCCCTACACGGTCATGTTTTATGATCCTTTTAGTGTTGCATTCTCACCCCCCACAGTCTTTATAGCTGGAAATATGCTCATTATATACCTCTATTTTGCTGTAATAATGGAACCTTCAGATTACTGAAGAAGTTTAGAAAAAAATGGTTCACTACCCTCGAGGGTTTTCCTCTCTACATAATTTACGAGGAGGCACAGCAGTGAGGGAGAATGAGATAAGAATGAAATTTGAGTTGCTACTCTGCCACTTCCTGCTTGTGAGACACAGGCAAGTCGCTTTATCCCATGTACACTGTGCATGTTCCTCCCAGCTCTAAATACCTGTGTGTCTATGTAGGCTTACCGAAGGTATTTTCATTGGACATACTTGCAGGTATTTCAAGGAAATGAAGATAAAAATACACACATGAACAACCAGAAGATATTAATGGTATTAATATGTGTAATCTACTGGTAGTAAAACTTTTACTATATACGTTGCCTTTCTCTCTCAAAAGGATGTTACTATATACATTGTCCTTTCTCAAGAGGAAGGCAGGAAGGATAGGACCAAATTGCTTCCATATTCCTTCTTTCATGAATTTTTCTATATTCTTTGAGAAATTCTTGAGATTTTAAATAAGGATTGATTTTATGAGGGGGGAAAAAAAAAACCCAAATCATTATTTTCCTAAAGGATCTGTGTCTTGGATTCTGGAAGATTTAACACTGACTTACTTTCCCCCAAGCCTTTGGAAAACATCTGCAAAACCTTGAAGAACCTGGCCACATTTAATGATCTTGGCACATACCAGAGATTACTAACCAATGAAAACTCAATCTGGGACGGTGCCCTTATTACTGTCCCACTTTACTGAACTAACCAACCATACTCAACTTCTCAAGAAAATCTTACTCCCAAGCGTACAGAATAATTTTCTGGCTATTTAGAGAAGCCTTCAGTGACAGTTCTGAAATGTTCAAATGAATTTCAGTTTAAAAAATACAATATTTTTCAATAGCTGAATAAACTTCACAAATAAACACACTCATTTTCCTTTAATAATGAGGCATAAAACTCCTCTGTTTAAAAAGAGTCACGCAAATACATTCCTCAAGCACGAATGCCCTCCTTCACAAAAATTTCTTAGGCAGGGCTTTTGCTATCACTGCATTTCATCAGTTGCTGTCATTCTACCAGCATTGCACTAAAATGAGAAGGGGAACATTATGCTTTAGAACTAACTATATAAATTCCACTTTTATGGCAACATTAGAAAATTAATTTTGGATACTCCCACAGAATCTGCCTGATTTATGCTTCTTGTTTTTGGCTCATAATAGTAAAAATTTCATTGTACACCATTCTAAGCTCTGCTCTAAAGTACACTGCAATATCATACTACTCCCACACATAAACTCTGTAGTAAGTCTCATGACTTATTGTAAATATTCACAGAAATTTCAACTAAAGTTAATCAACACATTACAAACTTCTATTTCTAGGACCCCACTCATTGCCCACAGTCTTCCGAGGCAGCTATGGCTAAGGGCTGAAAGCCTATAAAACTTCTGGAGTATACATTCTGCAGGAGTTATAGACAAATTGGAACCTATCATCTTTCCCTCTTCTGTCATTTTCTGAAAAAGTCTTCATATTACCAACAAAACTGCTTCCTTTTAATAAAAAAAAACCTTCCTCTTTGCCACAGCTTTCTGTAAATGAAGAGTTAATACTGACTGACATGACAATTCACAGTATTTACTCACATACTGATTAGAGTTAGTCAATGCATAAAAATTAATATCAGCCATATGCGTTATGTGTAGACAAAAGCATTTTGTTTGGAAAGCAGGGCTGATCTTTGCAATGTCTGACTTGGTAAGGATAAATCTGAAACAATGAAGCAGATGGCTGTTAACAATGTACAGATCAGCCTTGCCCTGGTGCTCAGACGTCGAAGGAGCCCAGTCAACTTCTTTTCAAATCCATCCTTCCATTTTGGAAGCATAGCAAATGAATGCAAACAGTATTAACGGGCATCTTTGTTCAGGTAAAGGCTCTGGGAACAGCTGGAGAAAATTTATTGCCTAGACAACAAACTATTTTTCCCTACCTGCTGTGATCTCAGAATCGCAGCATCGATCTCCTCCACCTTCTGAGTGATGGTGTCGCTCACTAATCGGTAGCGCTCATTGTCCTCAGCTACCATTTTCTCAAGTCCTTCTCTTGCCCTCCATGGTACCAGTTCCAGCAAAGCACTGCTCACTTCATTCAGGGAGTCCAGTAAGGCTTTGTGGTTCTTAGCTTCCTTTTTCAGTTCCTGAAAACATACAAATGAGTAACACTTAAGCGCTTCAACAGATTTTTCCTTTAACTGTTCTTGGAGCTCAAGCCCTTTGCAGGCAAAGAATGTGGTGCTTTGCCCCACTCCCCTCTCCCTAAGTTTCTGTTGAGTTAAATAAACCTTTTTTATTTAAAGCTATTTTGCAAAAAGAAAAGTATTTCCTGAGAAGTTCAAAGAACAATTCATTTGTCGACATGGCAAGATTTTATCTTTGAAATTTAATATAAATATTTAAAATTTCAGAAGCAAAAACAAGCAGGTTAACATGTATTATTCTTCGCTTTCTGGGAATCTCAAGTAATCAGGTAACAGAAAAGTAAAATAAAGAAAACATTCCGAGCCAGAATTAAGTAACCCTCAAAATGAGGACAAACTAGCTTTAAATCATGACAGCAGAATCATTACAGGCTCAGTGAGCCTGACCTCACCAACTCCCTTTTACCCACATGTGATCATACTTCAAGGATGATAAAAACAGAGGTTGGTATCTTTGAAATGAAGAATGATTACCATGGCAGTATGCCACTTTTGTGATATAATTTGAAAACCCACCCCATGTTATCTTACAGAAATATTGGTATTTCAACCAAATTATATGTGTCTTCGAAACAATGATCACTTTTCTTTTTTTTCTGTTTTCAACATTCTGTCCTTTGGGTAACAAACTATACTCCCAAATACAATACTCTTGAAACAATTATAATACACTGTTTTCATCTCTGGGCTCCTAAAAGTTTAAACAGTTCTCTGCTGCCAATTTCTTTTGGGTCTCTACCCACCAAGGCATCCTTCAGCATATGTAATGATATAAGACAAACATAATATGATTCTTGTGTGAGTTAAGACTCCCTAAAAGATAAAAGACTAATCAAAAATGCAGAAATCAGAGCTTACTTTTTGTCTCACTTGTGTTTGACTTGCTGCTTCTCCTTTCAGGACCTGAGTTTCATACGAAAGTAATTCCACCTCCACCTTGTCCAGCCAGGTGCACAGCTCCTCGTGTGTGGAGTGCAACCGCCTTGCAAGCTGCAGCGCCTGTTCCAGAGTCTTGGCCACATCCGTGCTCAATTTAGTAATGTCTTTGTATCTTGCTTTAATGGCTTCCAATTTATCTTGAATTATTAAAACTTCATCACCTAAAATTTCAAAGTCACGTTATTTCTTATGAACGAAAAAAAAAAAAGGTGGAGGGAGGGTTTCTTCAGATATTATAGAACACTGATGAAATTTTCTAGGGAACAAAAGGAGACATTTTTCTAAAGATAATCTTACTCAAGATAAACCCTTTTCTAAATTTTAATCTTTCCCAAGATTTCAGGCAAATCTGAATACGAGTGTAGAAACCGGAAAGGGCTAAGTGTCTTTAGTTACGTGGAAAGCAGTACTTTCGTGTCTGTTTATATGACACTTTGTTTTCAAAGCAGAGGGGTTAAAAACTGATGGACTTCAGATACTGACTTCACGCATGGCTTAAAAGCTGGGTTACTTCGGGCAAGGTACTTAGCCTCTCTGCTCTTAGTTACTCATCATTACTCATCTGCACTATTCTAACAGATCTTTACTTGCCTCTACCTCATTTCGTGACACACAGAAAAACTGTGTCCTGGGCTTCAGACTTCTAGCTCAAGGGTCTTGATTCTACATTTAATTTCTTCAACACATAATGAATAATACTTGCTCCCAAAATTTACATATTGCTGAACTGGATATAGGTATAGTGAAATTCCTATGGCCAAAGAAATCATTAAAACTAGTTTCTCTGAGTCGTCCTAAAATTTCATATAGATACTAAACTACATATCAGTTTTCTTAGTGATTCAGACATGAAGAAATGCAGCCTGTGTATACCTATGCATATAGCCATACTGTGTGTCACTGCAATGCAATCTATCTTAAAAAGAAATCGTCTACAACCTACGTTTTCATCTGTCTTCCACAAGTGGAAAAGTAATGTAACCCTGCCCTGGGCTTCTCTGATGAGCTCCTGTGCCAAAGCGCTTTATGTTATGAGTAATACACACAACTTCCATCAAAAACTCAAGTGAGATCATGAGAAAAAAGTGAGATCATATCCTAACCACCCCCTTGATTGGTCTTCAAAGTATTTTCCAGAATAAAAGTCTTGGAATGGACCAAAAATTATAAAGTGTTTTAGATTTTTCCCATCCCTAAAATATTTTGAAAACAATGTAAAATGCTGACCATATGATTATTTGATTTGAAAGATATCTCACCTGTGGTTTGTTTAAGTAGTTCTAAACCATTTAGTAAAGCCTGATCTACATTTTGTTTCCTGAGTAAGATGTCCTCTTGCAGAACCTAAAAACACAGGTACCATTTTTACGTGGGGCGGAAAAACATTTAAGTCAGCATTAACATTAGTTAATCTCAGAGAACTTTAATTATATTTCACAGAGACATATTTGAGTAAATATCTCACATTTTCACATATTCTTACTGGTTCCATGTTTAGACCTCTTCTCTTCACCACTGTGCCCCATGTCCTATGTTCATTTACCATAATTCACAGCATATTCCTTTTCAGAAAACACTTAGGGCCCTATGAAAATGGGCGTTGTGGATGTACTAAAGTACTGGCTAATATAGGTCTTAATAAATTTGTACAATAAAATAACAAAATAAAAAGTGAAATATCCAGCTAATTAAATAGACTCAATCCCTTTTTTAAAATGACTTCATTAAAAGTAATCTGTATAAACAAAGTGTTTTTGAGTACAGTAATTCATTGAAATCATCATAAACATAAAATTGCACAGAAATAAGGACTCAGAAATAATGACAATTGAAATGAAAAAATAAGATAAAATAAAATAAAAATAAATCAAAATACCCGAAGTTCAGACTGCTGCTTCCATAGCCCCTCAGTGCTGTAATCCTGGACTGAGAGCTTGCTCAGTTTGTCATGCACTTCATTCAGCCAGTTCATCAGCTCAACTTCATCTTCCCCAAAAATCTTAGCATTACATAAGGCCTGCTGGAGGAGCTCAGACCTGCTGTGACTTTTCTCTTGAATCTCAATGTACCACACTTGAGAGAAGTCTAATTTACTCTGCACCATATCTTTATCCTCCCTGGAGCTCAAAACCTTTAAGGACTGGCCAATGCTAACAGCCTGGTGTAAATGTTTATTGTGATTGATGATGTCATCTTCTAAGGCCTAAACAAAGTTTGAAAAAACAAACAAGAAAAACAAAAAGAATGGACAAATAAAAATGAAAACATACATAAAACTAAAGCATGGCATATGAAATGGATTTAGTTTGCAATTAAACAAAACAATAGTACATGACTCAAATTTATGTCACAAAACTACACAATAAAAACTGAACCTCGCTAAAGTGTGATTTACATCTTACTTTGTGCTGTGTAATTTGTTCCTCAAGTTTAGATGCTTGGGTTCCTATGGGTTCACAATTCACCAGTCTCTTTTCTATGGTCGTAAGCCACTCGTTCAGTGGTTCTAAGGTTTCATGAAATTGTTGTGCTACCACTGAGATACCTTCCAACTGACGATTCCTATAAATGTGCCAAGATAGAGGGCATTTAGGCATGAAGAATGTATGAAATATTCAGCAAAAATCTTCAGTCATGCTCCTGCAATCTATTCTAAACATTTTCTGTAGAACTATCTAAGGTTAAAATTTAAATCTCTTAACATTTAAAGAACATGTTAAAACAATTCTTCAGTTAAAAAAAAATTAAAGTTGAACAACAGATCATCCTCAAGTTCCTGAATCTCATGAAAGTCTGAAGTAGTCATTTGTAATAATACTTCCAATAATTATAGTTATAATAATGACAGCAATGTTAAAATAACAGCAGCAGCAATAGTAACAACAAAATAGGTAAAATTTATTGAACCCATATTCTGTGCCAGGCCTCATTTTAAGTGCTTTATATATTAATTTCAATTGAAGCACCAGATACTGAGATAGCTTTTAATCAAATGGTCAAAATTGGTTTCAAATTTTGAAGGGCATACATAGCTTCTTCCTCCCCTGCTTAGTGGAATTAATAGTGATTCCTATTTTATAAAAGCACAGTGTCAGGTTTACTTCCAAAAATCAATATTTATATTTTATGGATTAAAATATTATGAACAGGGTAGAAGTATTCATTGGACTTTTACCGGTAGTTTAAAATACCTTTGGAAATACATGCTTCCTCAGTTGCAGAGGACTAAGGTAAGTTAAAACCTGCTTCTACCATCCTCAGTATTTATCTAGGGCAAGCTATTGTGCTGGTCTGCACAGAGAGTACCTGATTCAGTATCAAATCCTGAATACATAGAGGGCTGGGATCGAGAAGTACTGTTACCTTAATTTCTTATTATGTTTAATTTTCAGGGAATTACATGTTTTGAGAAATTAGCTTTCTATAAGGAAGAAGAGAATTATAGAAAATTGGCAAGAACTATTAAATATAATTTCTGTAACATACCACAATATACACATATATATTTTTAAAAACTTTCAGTTGATACATTTGATTCTAAAAAAATGAATAAAATTACTATATTCATAATTACTTGTGGATTATCACCATCTGTGACCTTTTTTTCTAAATTCAAATATCCAATCACCTAAAATCAGTGGAAATAACTATTCCGTGACGGGATTTCATTTACAATGATTTAAACTGTCCACAATAAATCCAGGTGTGAATCATTACTATTACCAATATCACTCAATGTAATATGTCTGTGAAGAAGGTGTTAGGAAAAGAAGACCAGTTATGGCAGTAAAGCAGAGATCTAGACATTCACCCAGTTATTCTTTTAAAATTACTGAAGAGTATGTCCCATGGCAGCCAGGGCACAGCTCTGAGGGCACTACACAGAAGGGTTAATCTGTTGAAACATATTAAACGACAATATGAGATGAGACTTTTCACCTCTTTGAGAACACTTCATTCTACGGTTCCTAAAACTGTAATTAATTACACTCTGTATTTGAAGTTTAGACAAATCCTTCTCTTCACTTTCCAGAGAAGGTGAGAATTTATATAACATACTCATTCAGGTCAGTGGCTGTATTTTCAACCCAACCAGCCTAGATGATTACTCTTCAACATAGCTACTACTATGGCTAGTCAATGTGGCATCAATGCAGATATTGAAATATGGGTTGGACTTTTGTAATAAAATCGTTGAAAACAAACACCCAGTGGAGCCAGGCTCTAGGCTTCCTAGTCTTCACGAAGTCAGCGCACCCTTCTACCTTCTTTGTTTCCTAGCTAGCTCCCATTCAGCTGTAAAACTTAACTGTCATTTTCTGCCCCTAGACTAGGTTCTTCCTGTCGTATGCTCCCACAGCAACCTGTATTTCTACTTTGAGATATCACATTTATCATTACTTCTCAATGTCTATAAACCCTCTTAGACCATACCCTATCTGATGGCAGAGATGATCTGCCCAGCTCACCCCGATAACACAAGACCTAACTCTCTGCCTGATGCATGGTAAACAGTCAGTAACTATGTAATAAATAAATTAATTAATCACCCCCAAGGGAAATGCTTTTCTTAAAAAGTTGGGAAATAGCGGTAACGAGTCATTACCATTAGAGGAATGAGGAAAGAACCATTACAATCTTTGCTATCCCTGTTCATATACATGATAAACACAGGAAAATCATGATTTGAAGGAAAGTATAACTAAAATACAAGAGGTCAGTTTTGTAGACCGAGGCCACTGCCACTCTTTCAAAAGAACTCGAAGTAAGTAAGTTACCTTGCTTCAGCTTTATTAAGCAATGCCTCCCATCTACTATCCAGGAGACTGAGCTGTTTCAAAATCTTCACTTTATCTGCAGGCTCTGCTGTTGTGGCAATTTTTTCTCCTTCTCGTTTGATTACCTCTACCGTAGATTTGCGGTCATCCAACAATCTTTGGAGAAGCTTGAGACAAAACATTAAATATATTTTAAAAAGCAAGAGAATAAATGTATGAATATAAAGTAAAATGTATTCTAAGAACATTTAAATATGACAGAAATGTATTTTGTATGTATACACTTATGAAAGAATCTGAAAAGTGGGATTTTAAAGGTAACTGATTTGTTTAATGATTCATTACTATTGTGGCAGGGGCTTTTCATAGTGGACAAAATTAATATTGTTAAGGCCACTAAACTAATTATTAATTTTTTAATACAGCATGATACGGTAGGAGGTGCTACTTAGGAAAACTCCAATGAATCATGAAAAAGTGCAAAATCATCATTATTGTAAAGAAGAAAGAATGCCTTAAAAATTCAACAACTATATGCCCTGTCAAGATACAAAAGGTTGCCATAAATCATTACTGTTTTCAAAACCCTTTCCCACATTTAACAATCCGTTATAGACAAGGAAGTTAAGACTCAGCCCGAGTTCACAAGTTAACAAGGCTAAAACAAGAGGCTCTTGGCTCCTTTGACTAGGTGGGACTGGCTCCTAAAATCTGTGTGAGGGTGCAGACGAAAACAGCCTTTAAACATCATTGCTAACAGGAAGAGAGGGTAGAAGATGTCAAAATCTCCAAAGCTGGCTAAATAAGACTAATGTTTCAGGATTTAGCACCAGAAACAAAATTCAACTTGATTCTAATTAAACATTTCAAGGCACCTAAAATGGAATGTTTGCTATAAGAAGCTAAGAAACCTGAATGCAGGATTACCTGGCTCTAATCTAATCAAGCAAATTGCTCCTGAGCAACTGCTGTGCACAACCACTGTGCTAACAGCAATGAGGAAGGCACAAGTGTATGAAACACTGTGCTTCACTGCTTCCTTAATGATCTGGACTGATAATTAAGGATTAAAGATATGACAGTTACCCAGAAGTAAAAAGTTAAAAGGGTATTTTGAGATCAAGACCACCAGGGCAAGAGGTAAGAGGAACTTATGTAAAGAGAAGGATAAGACAAACTGTTGACACGGGTTTTTATATATTAAAGTCATGATATAATCAAAGTACAACAGGTGTTTTGGCAGCAAGGAGAACTAATTACTTTCATACATTTTAATAACAAAGCTTGCAACAAAAAAAGCAAAATCAATTAATAGGTTTTGTTAGCTAGGCATCATTACTCTGGAGTTAAACTGTGAACGGCAGACACTGTATTATGCAAAAATCATGCAAATGCAATGTGTTTTCAGTTATGTTTTCTTAATCCTTACCTCTAAACCTATTTCTAATTGGTATAACTTCCCTATATGCTGAAGTTTTCAAAGAACTTTTAGAGAGATAGCATTAAATGTAGAAATCAAAGTAAGCAGTAAGTCTTAAACATAAAAAAAAACTGAGGGTAAGTGCAGAATTTTCTATTTTTTCCATTTTTAATTATGAATAATAATTGAATTTATGGGATGCAATTTGATGCTTTGATATATGTAAACCCCGTGGAATGATTAAATCAACCTGATTAACATATCCATCACCTCACCTACTCATCATTTTTTGTGGTGAAGACCTTTAAAACCTATTCTTTTAGCAACTTTGAAATATACAGTACATTATTATTAGCTATGCTAAGTGAAATATGCCAGGCACAGAAAGGGAAGTTTAAAATGTTATCTTTTTAATAAATTCTTTTATAAATGTAATTTTTTAAAAAATTACTTAAAGTTTTAAATTAATTAACATGATCCACCTCCTTCTTTTTAAAGTTTTAGAGGGGAGAAACCTTACCAGGACACCATGCTCTAGGATCCTTCCCACATGACATATCTCAAGTCATGGCTGGCTGACTACTGCTGAAAGTGGTTATTAAATGCTTCAGACCTGACCACTGCCATCAGGGGCACAAAAACCATCACATGGTCAGTCTCAGGTACATATCACCCCTCTGAAGTCCCTATTTTCCCATCTTGGCCCCATTTTAGTAGTGTCAAAAAACACAGTGGCACATTCCTCAGCATATATGAATCAAATATTTGCCTCTTCAGTAATGGGTTGAACTATAAGAAACTGTCAATATTTAATGTATAAAAAGACAATTTCATATGGATCAACCTAATATATAAGGGAACAATGATATTTCCATACAAATGCTATCTTGTCAGTGAGACCTTCTTTGATGACTCTATTTAAAATTACACACACTCCCTCCCTCCATTTAAGGGCTTTGGGTCCCTCAGCATTGCTCTATTACTTCCTGATTCCTCTCCACCATCCCTGTTTATTTATCACTTAACAACTTACCACAATTCACTTATTTACTTTACTTATTGTCTCTCAGTCTTGCCATGCCCTTCCCACTTGACTTTGAACTCAGTGAGAAATTTTCATCTTTTTTATTCAGGGATATATTCCCAGCATCTGGAACAAGGCCTGGCTCATGGTAGATGTTCAATAAATATTTGTTGAATGACTAACAAAATAATGTCTACAGCAGCAATAACCAGTTAACTAGGTTATCCTATTAATTAAAACAGTCACAAGGTACATTTTTTCTCTTGTTAATAACATTTAACATGAAACACAATACAAAAGCATCACTAACTTACCTTTTGTTCTTGTATCTGGGCCTTTACCACTTTGAACTCGGCCGATGGGGGCTTCTGATTGGCCACAAGCTCCTCAGTGTCCGCCATCCAGCTGAGCAGGGACTCCAGGGCATCCTGGAACCTCCCACAGTGCAGCAAGGCCTCCTGCAGCTGGGCTGCTCGCTGAGCCACCTGCAAAGCGCCAATTGTTTCCACCTATTTACTTGTTTCACAAAATAATGAAATCTGCACACAGGCCGCTACTTTACATGCTTATTTTCCCATGTGCTCACAAATTTTCTTTTCCTTTTCACTTAAAATTTACCCAAAGTATTGATAGTGGGCAGGATAGGAGTCAAAAGCAGACAAAACTTAAGCAAGACAGCATGAAAATAAGGTTACAATCACAAACAGACAATGTAGAACATTCAATCTTTGAGATTTCTGAATTGTCTAATACATTTATGATTAGCAATGCACTATTCAAATATTTTAGTTATTTTAAGAATAACACATTAGTCACTTTTATCAATATCACTTTCTATTTCCTTCTGATAAATATCAGAAACAATTTTTAAAAGACTAAGAATAAAAGGAAGTATTATAGCAGAGACAATGAGAGTTATATTTTGGTAGGAAAGAATAACAAAAGTATCCAATTAAGTTCTGCTAACTCCAAGCTCTGGAGTCTTTTTTCAACAAATCAGGTCCTTTGTCTTCTAGTAAATGGAGTCTCTGTGTCCTACATAGAGATATCTTTTTGCTTGTCTCACAGATATTCTCCTTTTGGACTGAAAAAAGTAGTTGGCAAGATATTATAAGTGCTATGGATTATATTTACACCTGCCACTGCATTCCAATTGCGTTTAAGGTGCACTACAATATGTATCAGACTTTAAAGAATGAGTAATGAGTTTCAAGACCTGGAACCTACTTAAGATTTCAATGAAAAGAAAACAAAAAGAGTAACTACCACTGCCACCACCAGATATGCGCTGCCATCCCATAATAATTTTCTGGTAATTTATGTCACGTGTGTAAGAGCTGCCTGCATTATCTCCCTAAGATATCACAGCACTATTTCTAGTGTTTTCTATCATGAGAATTAAAAAAAAAGCTGGATCTACATCTTATAAGTAATTTGAAGTTGACGGTCTATAGTGAGGGTGGCAGGACTTAGTCTAGGACAGACAGAAAGACAAAGCTTCTTTTGTTTGCACGGTGTGAAATTAGTTGCCAATATTTGAAATAGGAAGGTGTCACATAGACAGTGTGATTTCCAGGTTATTTTGAAAGTAAACAGAATATCTGGCAACGGTAGGCCTATATCCCCACATGTCAATGATCTGCTGAAACTAAGTAGTGACCTGTACTCTTACAGATGCATGTGCCCATCACACCCGCACTGTTGGATCTGTGACCATGTCTTGACCAAAGCTGAGATAACGGCAGGCAGAGGCTGTCTTACCCAGTTTGCTTCCTCTCATTTAGATTCCCTACCTAGCTCCAGTAGGCATCTGAGTTTGAGCCATCCAGTTTACGGTAATATAAAAGAGTAAACATGTTTAGGAAAGTTTGGCTACTATAAATATGATTCGTGGTCACAACAAATGCTCATGAATAATAATCAGCAAAAATAGCAATGAAGGGGATGAGAAAATTACCTTCTTATTGAGAGTCTTCCACCGTGCATTGACATCATCCAGGTCATGCTCTAAGCGCTGAGTGCTAGTGCTTTTAGCAGCACTCTGAATAAGACCTTGACCTAACCAATTTACATCTTGCTGTTTACCTTGCAAGGGTTCAATCTCTTCTTTCTGGAATGCCTACAATTAAAAGAGCAATAATTATATGAGTTATATTACCTGTCAACCACCAAATATATAATAAGGGTTTCTTTAGGCATTGGGCTGTGGAAATTATCAATTATTACAGAGGCAAAAATAATTTTTATTGTTGTCTAGTCATAGGTCATAGCTATCTTCTGAAGAACAGAAAGAAACTAAATATAAATTCATAGCATATCAAAAACATTTGAGACTACTAAATAATGATATTCTGAGTACACTTAATCAAGTTACTTATAAAACAAAGAAGACAGTACATGTCTCCTTTCTTTATTACTTCATTATCATAGGATGAGAACTTTTCTGCTGTCCCAATTTAACTCTAGCAAAAGATTTACAAAAAATGCTAAAGAGCAAAAACATAAAATAAGAACAAAATGAGCAAAGCAGTCCTAATAGGCTCTTCTAAGAATGGCTGCTGCTAGCTGACAACTAAAGCTTGAGACTCACGTTGGAAATGGAAAATCATAGACAGGATGAGGTGAGCCAAGTGGCCAAAACATGGCTTGGCAGGAGGGCCAAAATGAAAAGATAGGAAAATGAAAAATACATAGGCATGTGCTGCAATAATATGGATCCCTACACAAATAACTTCCTCAATGTCTGCGAAGCTGCCAGTGGACTCTCAAGAAATACAAAGACCTCACCCTGTGGATCTGATCACAGACATCACCAGCACAGCAACGCTGGCTACTCTGTGGTCAGTGTCACCCATATCGGCATGGTCAGGGGTTTCCTAGCAATCTCCCCCTCATTGCCTATCCCATCCCACTTATAGTCCCCCAGTTGCCTGTGACTGGCAAAGCATTTAATGTGTTAGATTAAAATACAAGTTCCATGAACGCAGAAATTTCTGTTTTTCTTACAGTAGTTCTATGACCTGGGCCTACCATGGTACCTAGCATGTAATATGTATCCAATATTTATTTGCCAAATTAATATCAGTAAAGAAATTTATATTTCTATCTTAAGTGGATGACATCAAACCCTTAATAGATAATACTGGGAGTAGATACATCAATATTATTATTATTATTATTATTTGAGACAGGGCCTCACTCTGTCACCCATGCTGGAGGGCAGTGGTGCAATCACAGCTCACTGCAACCTCTGTCTCCCAGACTCAAGCGATCCTCCCACCTCAGCTTCCCCAGTAGCTGTGACCACAGGCACATGTCACCATGCCCAGCTAGATATAAAAAAAATTTTTTGTTGTTTTTTGGTAGAGACAGGGTCCCATTATGTTGCTCAGGCTGGTCTCAAACTCCTGGACTCGAGCAACCCTCCCGCCTCAGCCTTGCAAAGTGCTGGGATTACAGGTGTGAGCCACCATGTCTGGCTCAACTCCTTGATAGAGAATATGTTTTTAATATAGGTCTTGGAGGATGCCATGAGGAAAATCAATTATTGGAACTAAGGAAAGAAAATTTCACACAGATATTAAAGTAAAACATAGTGTGAGATTCTGAGTCATTATCTTGAAGGGCACTATATAAATATACCAATGATTGGAGAGTTAATCACAATACATGGAAACATAATAAAGGCACATATTAAAATAGCACTTAAGAAAAAATTACGGACACAGTATGAAAAATAACTTTGAAAGATGTAGAGGCTGTAGGAGACAAATCCTCCAGACTCTGGTCTAAGGCCTAGCATACAGGATACTCCTGTGTTACCGTATAAATGAGTAAATTAGAGAACAGCAAACAAATGTATGATCATTTTCTCTAAAATCTCCCCCTAGCTAAAAACTCAAACTGCCTTTTCCACGGAAGGTACAGATAGACAATTTCCATACTGGCTGTTTATATATAACAATAATAAATATTTTAAAAATCAATTACATATAATCAAATGAATTATAAGATTCACCCAAATCACTGGGGAAAAACTTAGGAAGTCTCCATCATTTTGCAAAAAGACACAATTTACCAAACATGTAAACAGAAACTTGAAACAAAGTGTTGAAGATAGAATTTGGCATTATACTTCTATTTCATTTCTATACCACTTTCTAAGTTATAACTTCTAGGACTAATAGCTTTGGATATGTTCCACTACTTACCAAAAAGCAGGGAGAGGAGGTGAGGGGTATACAAAAACTGCCACATTTTAAATTCCAGGAACTTGTAAATAAAGATTCAAGGAAACATTTTCTTTTCCCTCTTATATAGTTTTCAGGACAAAAGGTAATAATAATGTTATATTAAATTGCCCTAACCTCTGAAATTGGTTTTAAATTAATTTCAGGGGTATGTATCAGAGCAGACCTAGGTAAACCTGATAATTTTCTGAAACGCCACCAAAATACACTAAGGATTTTAAAAGATAACTACGAAAGAGTATACACTCCACTAAGAGTTAATTGTTTTCTACAAATAAACTGAAATATCCTTTACAGAAAAAAATTAATTTGCTAATCTTTCAAATTATCATGCCAGTTACTGCATGCCTAAAAAATGGGCATAACTAACAAGAACAATTATTTCATACAGAAGAGAAACCAATATGGTATTGTCTAAATTCTTTATCTCTCAATGTTAACAGCATACCTATGAAGAGAAACTTTCCCCCTAATCTAATCCACAGCACACAGGCATGAAGAGGAGCTTAAAATAAAATAAAATTACCTCTGAGGCAAAGTTTACCAGAAGAGTTCAGTAAAAGTACCAAAATAGCTGAACTTCAATCTGAGTGGGAAGAAAAAAATTACAGGCTTGGCAAACAACCTCTACTTATTACAAGGCTGCACCCTTTACTTTCTTACCTCATTCACCACTCACAAAAAGTTGGGAGCTACAATGCCTGCAAAGTACAGCATAGTAACTCTACTCTCATATGCAGAGCTCCTGAGAGAAATTTTTCAACATATTAAAAAAAGGTCCTTAATGTGGATAGAGTAGTTTGCAGGCCACAACAATAAATTACTGTGTTTGCACCTTCATGACCAATCCTGTTCAAGCTTAATAAATCCAATATAACAGCCCTTAAATGGCACTGTCTCTACCACAATCTGTGTAAAAGCCTAATATTAACGTGTATTCACAGTGGAGGCCTTCTAAATGAAGGGGAATGGCCACCATCTGCACAATCAATAACAGGACCCTCAACAGCTGGGAATAACAATTCTTCTCAAAAACAGACCCTGATTAATTTGCTATAATGATCAATTTATCAATATGTGGCATCCTGCAGGGTGCTACTCAAACCCGCAAAACAAAAGTGTTGATTTGATTATTATTAGAAACACTAGTGACCACTTTGAAACAGAACCACAAACTTTTAGCAGAACCACAAACTTTTGACACTGCAGAGTTTCACATTTCCATGAATTACCTGAACCAACTGAAAGCCATTGTAGACTGTGTCCAATATTCCTGCCTGGGCCCCTGTTTTGCTGGGTGCTGCTTTCTTTCTTGCTGCTATGAATTTCAGGGAGTACTTCACACGGAGCATTTCCCTCTCCTGGGGAGAAAGAGGAGCCTCCACTTCCTCTTTAGATGCAATGTTGGATTCTCCTGAATCATATTGTGTCAAAAGTGTCACATTTTCTACTCCCCTGGTGCTACCACAATCTATATCACTCTCCCCTAGATCTGTGTGAGAGAGATCTAAATCTTGAGGGGCATCCTTTGTAAGTTCCCTACTTTGTGCTGTGATTTGGGATTCTGTTGGTCTGTATATTGTCTCCTCTTCTCCAAGGTTAAAAATATGCTCATTTTCTCCATTGGTTGGCATAAGAAATGGGTCATACTTCACAGAGCTCTCTTTCAAATTATTCTGCAGGCAACAATTTTCATCATGGATTTCCCTTTGACCATTTACATGCTTTGCTTCCTCTAGTGGAGAAACATCATGTAAAATCATTTTGAAGTTTTCATCAGGGTGGGCACTTCGACATGAAAGTAGTGGGATTTTCTGTTCGCTAATGGAATTAACAGAAAAAAATGGTCTATATGGCTCTGTTACATGAATATCTTCAGCAGAAGACAAACTTCTAATTCGTGACTGGTCTCCAGTTAAAATGCCCTGTTTTTCTTCCGTCTCTGCTGGAGGGCTACATAAACCAGAGTCATCCTCCTCCGAAGTGAGAGAATTAGTACCCCATCTGCACTTGCTGGCCTTGGTAACAGTATCTGACATTTCAGTAGGTTCAACAAAAGAGCTTTCACTTTTGTTTGCATAATCCATAAAATTGGCTGGAACAAACATTCGCCAAGACCGTCTATGCTCTTTCTTTTCTGCAAGAGATTTGGCTTTAGGTAATCCTGTGGTTCGGATGATATCACTATTCAGTTTGAGTGCATCAAAGATCATCTTTTCATCTAGTTTGTTAGCTTCCCGACCTCTCAGCTCAAATACACTGGAAGAAGTAAGGGCACCATTAGAGCATAAAGAACTAACATCCAGTGTTCTGTGACTGTAGGGTAAAGTTCGATCTGTAAAATGCCTGGAAGACAGGCTACCTTTTGAACCAGAGTCTATCTGTTCATTTAGTCTAACAGTATCATAGATCGACCGCTGTGGGACGTAACAGTCTTCGATATTTAGGTCCTCCTCTTCTTCACCCTTCCCTACACATGGGGGATTCTGACGTAAACAGTCTGGTCTGCTGAGTGGCTTCCCCATATTGCAGATAGTTAAAACAAATATTGCAGCTCTTGACACAGGAAATAAGAAATAAGATAATGCATCTTTCAAGAAATTATACTTCTGAACAGAGCGACGAAGTGTCTTCGGCATAAAGACACATGCTCAAATATGTCATAATATACATATGAGGTGTTTAAGGTCATCAGCAGTGCATCAGTATAAATGCAACTATCCTTTTACCTGGTTGATTCTAGGATGATTCTAAACAATAAAGTGCATCAATAACAGAGAACAAAAAGCTTCTTTGTCCACCTTTCCTACCTCCCAAAGTTCCCTTTCACACACTCCAAAACACAGAAAAACACAAACACACACTTAACAGTGGCTCAAACACTCAGAACATTCTATTGTCAGTCCATTTCCCTTTTTAGTCTGATATTTCCAGATTAAAATTTTCAAATGAGCAAGCATTTGAAAATGTTAAAACAGGCTGAATGTTAATTTCAGCAGAGCTCTGGTTAACGGTAATCCACTTAAAGATGGCTTGCGAAACTCCATCTTTCTAGTAAATAAACCATGCTCTAGAAATTTAAAAGACAAACACAGGGACCTGGTATTGTTCACATCAAGGCACAGAACAAATCTTCAGAGAAAATAAGTTAAGTGTAACGTTATGAGAAAGTTACATTTTTCTTTTACTCTTTTTTTTCTGGAGGAGTAGCTATAAATAAACTTGATTGAAAAGGCAGGTTTTCTTCTTTTAAGCTTCTTCAATGCTAGTCAGAACTACTCAAAGGAAGAAAAAAAAAAAGACTTTTAGACACCCAGGGCAGTACAATCCGGCAACCGTTTAAAGTAAACAGTTAGAGAGCATGGTGTACTATTAAGCTTCTCTTAAAAAAAAAAAAAAAGCCATTTCCAAAGATTCTTATCTGGTCCTCCGTAGGAAGGCTTATTCCACCTGAAGCAAATGCAGCAACGAAGAGCTCCACAGCTTCCTCTAAGGCACAGGCAGCGTAATTCACATTCAGCAGAAAACCCAGGGACTACGCTAGCCTTTGAAACTGACCAACTTCTGCAGTCGCAATGTGGCCTTCATTTCAGCTGGGGCTGGAGAGAGACGGCGGTGGTGGAGGCAGCAGAAAGGGAACTCCGGCCGGGAACTCCGGCGCTGTCCGCGGCTCCTCAGGGCAGCACGGTGCCGGGCAGGCATCGTCTCCAGCCAGGGCGCTTCCTGCAACGCCCTCTCTCTGCAGGCACCATCTGCTGCGCCCCTGGGCCTGCCGGGCGCTCCGGAGCCGCAGCTCTCTCTACCACTTCGGTGCTACGCCCTCCCGTGACTTAACTTCGCAGTCATCTTTCCTCTGACTCCTCGCTTCTTACCGGGAGCCGGCGAGCGGTTTCAGTGGGAGGTACCTCGAAGCCGAGAGGTGGTGACATCAGCGCAAAGCAGGCCGAGTCCGGCGACTGGGGAGAGGGGCAGCTCGGGTTCAAAGACCGCGGAAACCCGGCCGACTACTTCAAAATGGGAAGGGATCCGTTGGGCTTGTGGAGGCAGAACCTGGCACAGGGAGATCCGCTAAGAAATTATTTTGTGAAGGTCCAAAGACCGCACTCATTTGAATAGTAAATGGGAAAGGGGGGGGGCTGCATAGGTCCCTATCTTTGAGTTCAAACCACGCTTTTACAATGAAGAATCTGATGCTTCAGCAGTATCTGCGATGCAAAGTGCAGATCACTTCGAAGTAGGGAGTGTTTTGCAGTTCCTGTTTGAAGCCCAAGTTCAAATCTAACTGTTCTCCAGAGTAAAGTATTCCTACCAGCAAGAGGCTCTCAGCACTGCTGACATGAATATTAGTAGCTACTAATAACCATGCAGTACTCTTGAGGTTAACACAAGGCCCAAGGGCACTCACTGACTCCAGGTATTTAATAAACAAAATCACCTCCACAGATTTTTATCTACGGAACACCCTTTTAAAAATGCTGTTTGAAAATAAAGTCAGCAAGCCAACTCTTTGTCTTTGTAGGAAAATTAATAGTTTTATTTAAATAAAATCTAAACATTCTCTATTTTACAAAATAAACATCAGAGTATCACACACAGTTACAAATGAAGGTAAGTGGTCTTTCTTCAATCTCACAAAATAATAATTTGAATATGAACAAAAATGTGCCCACTCCAAATAAAGAAGACAGTTTTGGTAAAAACAACTTTATACTTTTTTGATAATTTTACAGAAAAGATGCAGGAGGAAACTTTTTTGCCTTTAATGAGAAAACATCTCAATATTAATTCTACAGACCTAAGAGTTAAATCTTTTTCAAAAAAAATCTTTTCATAATGAAAACTCTTTATTAGGACCTCATTCATTCAACAATTATTAGATTATTAGATACAACTCAGTATGTGGCCATCATTAAGTTGACTATATATGACTATAAAGAAAAAGAGAGACCAAAATATCCATCAACATCAAAATATCAATGCCCATTTTTCATGTTCAAGACATGAAATATTTCAACAAGCACCTGATTCTGTGGTGTTCAAGCACACAGGTTGTAATGAGGCATTGATATGAGAAAGAAAAATGTTCTCATAGTTAGCATCCTTGAACAGTGGATTGGGCACTAGGCTGAGAAATAGTAGAGACCAAGAGTTTTACTCCCAACTGCAGCTCTCTTGATATGTAAGCCTAGAAAACTACTTCCTCATAGCAATATGAATAATAAAGTTTCCTTGAAATCTGTATGAGTGCCTTTCTCTAAACACTCTAAGATCCTTACAGAACTTTTCATAATAAAGAATGGCTCTAATTCAGTCCACCTTAAGACTCTAACTCTGAATCATTAGCACAATATTATTCTAGGCTCATGAAAAGCTAAGAGGAGCAACACATAACCTCACATTCGAGGTGGGCAGTACATTTTTAAAACTGCACAGATAATTCATTCATAAATGATTCAAAAAAAAAAAACAGTGCTCACTGTCTGCCAAACAACATGGTTCGCACTGGAAAAATGATGGTGTGAAGACACAGCCACCACTGTCCTTCTACCACTTACACTAGAGTGGAAATGTGAATGAGAAAATGGCTGTGCCACAGTTTGGAAGTGAACAGTGCTATGGGAAAATATTCCCTAGTTAATTATGTTCAAGTATATATCATTTATTTAATAACTGTTCCTTTTTTATTTTTTATTGCATTTTAGGTTTTGGGGTTCATGTGAAGAACATGCAAGATTGTTGCATAGGTACACACATGGCAGTGTGATTTGCTGCCTTCCTCCCCATCACCTATATCTGGCATTTCTCCCCATGCTTTCTCTCTCCAACTCCCCATCCCCCGCTGTCGCTCCCCTGCTTCCCCCCAGCAGACCCCAGTGTGTAGTGCTCCCCTCCCTGTGTCCATGTGTTCTCATTGTTCAACACCCGCCTATGAGTGAGAACATGCGGTTTGATTTTCTGCTCTTGTGTCAGTTTCCTGAGAATGATGGTTTCCAAGTTCATCCATGTCCCTACAAAGGACACAAACTCATTGTTTTTGATGGCTGCATAATATTCCATGGTGTATATGTGCCACATTTTCCCTGTCTAGTCTATCATCGATGGGCATTTGGGTTGGTTCCAGGTCTTTGCTATTGTAAAATGTGCTGCAATGAACATTCATGTGCATGTGTCCTTATAGTAGAATGATTTATAATCCTTTGGATATATACCCAGTAATGGGATTGCTGGGTCAAATGGAATTTCTATTTCTAGGTCCTTGAGGAATCGCCACACTGTCTTCCACAATGGTTGAACTAATTTATACTCCCACCAACAGTGCAAAAGTGTTCCTATTTCTCCACATCCTCTCCAGCATCTGTTGTCTCCAGATTTCTTAATGATCGCCATTCTAACTACCTTGAGATGGTATCTCAATGTAGTTTTGATTTGCATTTCTCTAATGACCAGTGATGATGAGCATTTTTTCATATGTTTGTTGGCCTCATGTAGGTCTTCTTTTGTAAAGTGTCTGTTCATATCCTTCGCCCACTTTTGAATGGGCTTGTTAATTTTTTTCTTGTAAATCTGTTTTAGTTCTTTGTAAATTCTGGATATCAGCCCTTTGTCAGATGGGTAATAACTGTTCCTTTTTTATTGAACTGATTTTTATTTACTTATATTCTGATTCAGGCTAAAATTTGTACTGTTAACCTTAAAATGTGTGACAGTAATTTACATAAATCTTTCTTACTTGAAATCACATTCCAAAGTCTTATCTGGATAACATGTAAGAGCTCATATATAAAGAGCAAAACCGGACTGGTGTATTTTTTTCTCAAAAAATTGGTTTAGACAGCTACTATAAATGTTACAGTTTCTAATGTTAATAAAATCAAGATACATTAAACCATGTTAAATATTAATCATGATATCCCATCCCTCATATTTTCTTTTTTTCTGAGACAGGGTCCTGCTCTGTTGCCCAGGCTGAAACACAGTGGTGTGATCACAGCTCACTGCAGCCTTGACCTGAAAATAGCCAACACTATTATTTCATAATACAGAAATCATAATGCTGTTTTCAAAATGTAGCTTTACTTACTTTATGCAGCCTATTAGATATAATCCAGCTAAACTATCTACTAAAGCAGATGATTTCAGAAAAGTACAACTAATAACTGAATTATAAGCAAAACAGTAAGATTTTCTCATTTTATATTCCTAAAGTTTAATTAAATCTTTTAAAAGAAAAGTCCCTGGAAAATGTTCCCACTAAGTGCAACAATGAAAAGTTTTATCATTCACATTTATTATTTATATATTTACTCATAGAAAAGAGCAATTTTATCAGCTGAAACATAGAGTTTTTAGGGCTGAAGGATTGGAGGTTAAGTTCAACGTACAGTAAGTGAAGAATGTCTATGTAAGTAAACGCACTGTTATCCATGAATACCTCCTGGCCTGATAGCTCTTGAAATCAGCATTAGAAGTCAAACATGGATATGTGTTCTGGGCTACAAGTACAAAAATGGTCAGTAAGAGCAACAATTGTTCTTTCTAAAATAAATAAGCCATTAGCTAATGAAAACTGAAAGCATACTATGTTTTTAGTTTTCAAACTATTAAATTTCTTCACATAAATGGCTAAAGGTTTCCAAAGATACGCATCATATGAATATGCAGTAACTATTTATTTCATGGGAATATAGTTTCTATTTAGAAGAAAGTAGAATATTCTGACCCCACCACAAAGTAAACCAATTTAGAAACACTTAAGAGACTCACTGACTGATCTTGACAGGAGTTTATCAAGATGTGAACCTTAATTAATATCTTTCATGAGCGCTTGCTATTCTTCCTGTAAGTTACTACAATAGTAAGACTATGCCTTTCCCATATCTTCAGTGAGGTTTTCTGGTGACAGTGAAAAAAATTCTATGTAACAAAAGATGATTTATATATATATATATAATTAATTGCTATACATATATATATAATTTCACATTTATTCTGTTTATATATAAAATGTCAAACAGTTCATTTTAAAAAAAAGCTACCCAGCAAGCAAAAGCAATACACACATATAATGGCCCTATTCAGTTTTCATCAGAGAAACAAAACCAAACAAAATCTGGAAATAATTTTCATATTAAAATACTGACAAAAGAAATAAACTAAGCTTGAAATGAAACAACTGGAGATATGTGAGAATAGGATCTGCTGGGCACAGACATTTTCCTGTTATATCCAGTTCTTGAGCAGCACCAGAAGCTTTTCACTTAATTTAAAATCATAGCATTTCCTTATCACATACTGTTATTAATGCATGGAGACCTATATATTTTTTAAAGCATTTATCAGTCAAATGTTCTTTTCAAGAAATCAATGTACAATTTCATAACAACAAGGCAAGTTCTTCTCTGTCTCTTGCTCTCACACACACCTTTAAGCAACTTTCCATATTAATAAAATATATTATGAAGTTCTCTTTTTATCAAAGGAGGGACTATAATAATGACAGTAAATACCACAGTTTGGTTCTTCTGTTGGATCACTCTAAAATGGTAATATAGGTTTATCAAGGTAAAAGCAAAACAAAATAACAACAACAAAAAAAATCCTTCATTATAAAATCTCTGGCTGGAACTGCCTTCAGGAAAACCCACTTTAATTCCACACTCTTAAATGAAGGAATAAAGGCAGCAAAACTGAAAAAGAACCAATGTTGCAAAGTTCTCCTTTGACAGCCCTTTCTGAGAAGTATGGTCTATTTCTTGTGTTACATGAAAAAGAGGGCATCCACCTGTTATGCCTCGTTTGTGTGGATAAAGATCTGAGGGGTTAGTAATACCACACAGCAGATCAGCTCCATCTCTTCATAGCTATGCGTGGTCTCTGCCTCGGTGGGGCTTCTCTCTTGACCAGCATATGGAGAATTCTTTCATCCCAAAATTGTTAAATGCCACTTTGCTGTGGGTTTGTTAAACCATATGACCTTCCTATAAAAGCAATGCATCTAGTTACAATGTCTATAGTGAAAATATTTTCACCATTAGAAAAACCAGAGGGTGGTAACATGCAACCCCTTTGCTAATGTAGCTTCATTAACAAAAATCCAATCTATGAAGGAATTTTCCCTTACAAAAACCTCTTCTGCAACAGCTTTATCTAATTTCCTCATTCTCAATAAAAAATGGAGAATAATTTGTCATTGGCCTCTATATGACAATATGAACACTTTAAAAGTATTATTAAAGCATTTTTTGGACAATTTGATTTTCAATATAGTGACATCATAGAGGTTGTTTTTAGATCATTTGATAAACACCATAATAAGAATTTCTGCTCAAACTGCCTGTCTTCCTTAGCCACATGCTACTTGGCATTTTAGTTTACCTAATACTCATATAATGATGCCGGGGTTAAACAATGCCTTCACCTGGACCAGAGAAAATTTATTACAGTATAATTAGGCATATGTTCCGCTCTTTGTCTCTGGTTTCAGCATGGCTTAAAAATCCTCTGCTCAATGTAATTCTATGTCCATTTGAAAATAAAAAGAAATCTTCAGAGAGACTTGTACTAGAGATGTATTCATTTGCGGGGACAAAATGAATTACAACTGGGGCAGCAGCAGAGTGTTCAGAAATAAGCAGGGTCTGAGGTAAGGCATTTTTTTCAGAATGGTCTAGATCAAGGGTGTCCAGTCTTTTGGTTTCCCTGGACCACACTGGATGAAGAGTTGTCTTAGGTCACCCATAAAATACACTAACAGCAATGGCAGCTGATGAGTTTTAAAAAAATTTCATAATGTTATTTAAGAAAGTTTATGAATTTGTGTTGGGCCACATTCAAAGCCATCCTGGGCCACAGGTGGCTCATGGCCATGGGTTGGACTAGCTTGGCCTAGATAGAGGTGAGGAGGGTACAGCTTTAGCTAGGACTCATTAAAGCATCAAGTTTCTTTGATCTTCATTGAAATCAAGTCAATTCAATATGATGATAATGGTTATTTCATGATGATCAGAAGACCTGATTGGCTGTTAATCACATAGTAATAAGAATCACCGGGATGCATTCCTTGTATACAGTCAGTTATATATGTCTTTGATAAATAATAATGTGGAAATGTTAATATTACTTAATGTGGTTTAGATTTGAAGATAATCTTGAGCTAGGAGTCTTCAGATAGGAGGTAGGGATAGAGGGAACACCAAAGGGGCTTCTCTCTTCCTGCCTAGAGACAAACAGAATCACTCTGCTATTCATTCCACCATTTACAACAGTGTGCACAGAATTTAACTGCAATCACAGAGAGGTGGAAGTAGAAAATGGTACTCTAACTTAACCAACAGAATAGAAAACACCTCACTCTTCAGACATGTTAGTTCAATGACTATTATTTGGAAGTAGAAAAACTTATGTACATCAGAACTTATATACAATCAAAATAGTTCTAAAACATCAAGCTAACTAACACAATAATAACACCAATCTCCTTTTAAAATCTCAGAATAGTTTTCACTGAGTGAGTTAGTACATTTGCTTTAGAATAGCATTTGCTTTAATTATTATGTTTGAGTTAGTATGAACATGAATGAATGAATTTTGTCCTTGTCCTTACAAGGAAAACTCAAGTAACTATTAATAGCTATTTCTTAAACTATACAAAGAAAAACAGAATCAGGGAAGTCTATCAAACCTGTTTAAATTCCTGTATTATGGGCCCAGTGAATATAAGGCACCCCCTGCTGAGTAATTGGGTAATAGCTATTATTCTCAGTTCTGCCCACAAGGCAGTTTATTTTGTATTAAGAAAAACTATTATAGGATTTTATCTGTGACATTGGGTTAAACTAAAGCTATCAGATAGATTAATGCCAAATTAGATTATATTTCAAAGTAATAATGAAAACAGACTCAGTCCTTCACTTCTTTCCTGTGTCACTTTTAGGAAATATAACCAGCTTTTCACTCAAAAAAAAAATAATTCCATCTAAAAAGTTTAAAAAAAAAAACTTACTAAAAATTATGTTAAAACTAATATTTAGCAAAAGCCGAAGGCCCAACAAAAACTAAAGTAAGTACTGAATTGTAAACAAGTCAATTTACTACTTTAACCAGGAAAGATATAATCACTACAACGATGAAATACCTGGCTCCATGTCCGTAGCAGCAGTAGTGGTGATCATTGGAATCACCACCATCAACATCATCATTAATATCATCACCCTTATTGTGTCACAGCCCCTACATAACATCAGTTTCTAAGACTGTTTTACATATGTTTATCTCATATGCCTCATAGCACCCAGTTTTACAGAACATGTTCCCTAAGTGGGCGTTCCTGGTATTTTGGATTAAAATGCAATGGCTGGCTATTCAGGCTAAATTAGGCTACAGCAAAGATGATTAGAAAACTCCCCAGAGAAAATACCAGATGTAAAACATGGGTGACAAAGTTTACACAGAGCATTGCATCATTTTCATCAAAACGATCAGGTTCTGACACTGTGTGACCTTGGACAAATCACTTAACCTCCTTAAGCCTTGGCTTCTTCATAATAAGATGGGGAATAATAATAGCATCTACCTCTCATGATTCTTAACAGGATTAAAGATAAATTAAAACAGCGCTTGACACATAGTAAGCCTACAATAAATGTTAATTACAGTAATTACTATTTTTAAAGAATACACAGGCACATACACAGATAAATGGAATTAGTGGTTGTGTGAGCTACCATGATCATATTCTTGTCCTTTTTTAACCTATGGCACTGGAATATACTAACTGCAGATTGTCTGCTTTAAAACTTTTTTTTTTTAAGTCACTGGGTTTCAAGACACTGAACGTAGGCCGTGATATTCTTTATTGCTGAATTTCAATAAAATCAATCAACTCTTTGCAAATAATCAGAAAGCAAACTAACACAGCATGCTAAATAGTTTATCTGAGGAGAAATTATCACTCTATATTTCTTCACAATCAAATAAGACAATCTCTGCAGCTATTAATGGTAAAGTTACTTATTCGGGCTTTTCAGTTTGCAAAACACTTTCACTACAATGGTGAGAAAGTTCCTTCTATCTCTTGCTTTTTCTTCCTTTCAATTCTCCCCCTGAAGAGCCAGGTTTTTCACTGTACTTGGGAACACCAAGGGGGAGGCACCCACAAGTGGCAGCACCAATATTATTACTTTTGTCCACTGTTTTACATAGAAGCAACAAAGATAAATGAAGGTCTTTTTTCCACACAAATGCACAGGAAACCGAGAGAAACCATTATGTCTCACAAAGACAATGTGGTTAAATTTCCTTAGTATAAACACTGCTTGATTACTGTCATTTAATCTTTAAGATGCTCACAGGGTTCTATAGAAAATTCCAAACTTTCCTGATAAAGGAAGAGTTGCTCCCAAGATCTCATCTCTCCCAGTCTTCAATGCAGCAATTGCCACAGAACCATGTTTTTCTAATACAGGATTCTCTCATATGAAATCTTTATTTTGCCAATCAGAAATACAAAAATTTGACAGAGCAATGAAGGAGGTCAAGTCAACAGAAGGACGTTTCCTTCACCTTCAAGAATCAGGAAATAAATATGGAATCACAGATTTGTGAGCCTTGACGGAACTGGGCTTCAAAGGCATTTAATAAGCCGCACATAACCATAACAGTAATAGCAATACAAAGAGCAAGAAGGCATTTTTCAAGATTCAGTCACCTAAATAATGTTATTAAAGATAAGCAAATGAAAGAGTATATCAAATATAACTGCATAGAATTTGGAAGTCCATTTGATTCATGTTCATTTCTCAAGGAAAATAATTTATGGTTTTATAAATTGTTTTTATTTGGTCTTAGTTTATTCTTTATGCACTAATGGTACAATATATCTTTGCCAGTAAAACACACCTCATAAATATAACAGGAGCTGTGGAAACCCTAAAGGTTTATATCAGCCACATATAGAAAATTGCTTGTTATTTAGGACCCTTTGTTTCCAGAGATCAACCTATCTTTGTCACCTATACAGATGTGACTTCTGTTCTCACTATAATAAATAAGGCCAAATCCAATGACACAGAAACTGGCCCACTATTTTTATCAAATGTTTCATTCATTAAGTGTCACTGAGCACTGTTGAGTGGCAGTTATTTCTTGGCACTGAGGAGCTTATATCATCCAATAAAAAAATAATTAACTTCTAATCCTCTGGGGCATGAACCCACGCTCTTTGTTTAATGAAACACAGATTATAACATGGAACTCCATACTGCCTTTAAAAATATGAGTTTTTAGAAGAAAAAAGTCTGTGGAAGAAATTAAATCAAGAAGGATGGAAAGACAATATAAAAAGAAAGGGAAGAAAAGATGATAATTCACCACTGAAGGAAATGCTGGGAGATAAACCTCTGCAGTAGAGTTCAAACCATAGCTGCGGTCACCATGGATGGCAGCTGTGAATGACGTCGGAAATGGACACTATGATGTCTGTTTCTGGCTTGCCTGGAATGTTGTCAAGCACTCTTTGACTCCCTTATTTTATCTCAGGCCTCATCCCACGAAGGCCCAAATTCCCAGTAAGCTTGTAACTGCCCCACATGCCTGGGTGTTACCCCCATATATGCTCATTCTGGCTCAAATATTATATGACAATCATTATTAGAAGGTTCTATGAAATAGGCAATCTCCTTTCTATACCAATTAGAAACTTCACTGACAATAAAAACACTTGGTAAAAATGAAGAATTCCCTACCTTGAACACGTCAAGCTGCTGATTAATTGTCTCTGTTTCCATACCAACCGGACCCTGCGACTCTTCATGTTCTTCGGCTTTCTGGAGCAGAGCAGAAAATTCTTTCAATTTGCTGTAAAATTCTTCAAGACGCGTAATTGTCCCTTCAACCTGCTCTTCTCTGGCTTGGGCTCGGTCCAGTAACTTGTTGCATTGTTTGCTTAATGCCTCCAAGTCCCTTTTGATTCCAACAAGGTCAGGAGAGGTTTCTTCTGTGGCCAACATCATCTTGCAGGTTTTATTGGCATTGTCGTTGCTTGCTATGAGGGCTTCTAGTTTCTTTAGAAATGCTTTTATAGTTTCCTTTTGCTTTTGCAATGTTTCTGCATCTCTTCCCACTGGGGCCATGCTGTCCAGTTCATCATCAAACTCTGCAAACTGAGAAAACATTTCTCGAATGGTATTCTGGAAATGCCCAATGCCCTGAAGTTTGGTTTCTAAGAATGAACACTTTTCATCAACCTGCTGACTTAGTTCACTGTGCTCTTGAGCTATGGTTTCCACTTGCAATAAAATATCAGAGGTTCCCTTTGAGTCTGACGCCTCTACCACAAGGTCCTGTGCAAGTCTTTTAGCCAAATCTACCTGATGCTTCAAGGCCTGAAGTGATTTCTGCTGAGTTTGCAACATGGTCAGGTATTTGTTACTGAAAGCCTGGGGTCCCAGGGAATCATGGACATCTAGCTGCTCCTTTGCACATTGAAGCTGCCTTTTAGATTCTTTGGAAACTTCTTGAAATTCTTTAAACTTCTGAGCCATGTTCTCCAGGGACAATTTCTTACTGTGAAGTTGTTCAGTGACCATGTCTACCTTCTGGATCAGTGACTTATTCTCGTCTGTAACAACTTCTTTATCTACCTCACAGACACTGAGCAAGCTATTGGCTGTGTTGTTCAGTAATTCTACCATACCAAAGTGTTGGTCCATTTCCTTCTGCAGAGACTTTAACTTGGCAATAGAATTCTCTCCTTCAGCAGGATCCAAGCAAAATTTTATTTCCTCCAGGTTGTTTTGGCATTTGTCTATCCATGGCCGGAGAGTCTCTACTTGCTCTTTATACTTAAGGGCTTTTTCCAATGAATCTTTTAACTTGTTTTCTCTTTCTTTCACCTGCTTATTAAATGTATCCCAATTGGTTTTAATCGTATTAAGCTGAGACTGTAAGGCTGCCTTCTCAGACCCTTGTGTTTTTAATAACAGATTTTCACCTTCTGCAATGGTTTTTTCATAAATATGAGACTGGGCAGTCAAAGTTTTACTTAAGTCTTTATGATCTTTAATTAATGATTCCAAGACATCTACTTTGGCGGATATTGGATGAGACTTGTTTTGCTCTTCTTTCTTTGTATTTAGCCAAGCTTGAAAATCTCTAGACATTTGCTGAAATTGATGAGAGCTTGCACAGGCTGACTGAAGGTGCTGGACATGATTCTCTAGAAATAAAATCACAAGATATGTTTATTTTACATCAAAATGTTAATTTAGTCTATGAAAAGCCAAAAGAAAAATCTCTGAATGAATATACAGAATCGTTGAAAAGCAAGGGCTTTTAGCAATGACTATAAGAACTACAAGTGAACCTAAGTTACTGACAAAGGGGAAAAGAAGCAAGAGGTAGGCACAACAAGAAAATAAGCAATCAAGAAAAGATGCAGGAGACAGATGAGAGGGGAAAACAAAGAATAAGTAAAAATGCATCAAGGTGCAGGGAGTGGTCATGCCACACACTGCCTGCTATGCTAGTGTCGTCTCCATTCCAGTACGGAGAAGTGACAACAGCAATGTTCTCAGTTATGGTGATAAATAATCCATCTCTTATCAATATGACTTTTTCATATCTATGTCTTTTACATATTGTGGAGGCAACATAATGTAGCACATGAAAACTACACGAGTTTGTATCCTGGTTTAACCTCTTCAGAGCTGGAAGAACCCAGGCAAATGATTAACCCTCTAAGCCTAATTTCTACAACTACAACTGTAAATTGACAATATTAATAGTTGGTGTTGTACAGATTAAATTATAGTACATGTGGAGTTCATAGTTTAATACCTATAACATAAAAGTGTTCATACCATTAAAAATAATGATGTTAGCTGATATTTACTATTGCTAATATCATATTAAATAAAGGAATAAGTCTGAAACAGTTGCTGTGATCAGTAAATTCAATCAATTGAAACACATAACTTGAGTATTTACTAGGTGCAAGAAACTAGAAACTTTTCAAACAGAACAAATTTAACAACAAAATGTACCTTTCTTCACAGGGCTCTCTGAATTCTGATAACTCACTGCTAACTCTGACAAATATCAACACAACTGCCACAGAATTACAGCCACAGTGAGAGAGGGAAACAGTGACAATGCCTCTCTTTCACACATTTCTTTAGAAAAGTTTTTTACGACCGAATAGACAAAGTAACAGCAGATGAGAAGATGATGCAAAGCCTTTTACTAACTAGTCATGTTTGACACACAGCAAAAAGCATTTACATCTTTTAAAATCTCAAGTTTGGGATACTTGAGATTTAAAAAGGCCTTGAGGAAGTCAATTTTGCCAACAGAGTATGTATGCAGAATGACCGTAACATTGCATGTGCCTATGAACACAAAACTGTTCTCTGCACTGCTGTGTTCATCCTTCTCTTCACTGATTTTCACAGTGGGGCAGAGTCTCTTTGGGGTCCTGGACTATTGGCAACATCTTGGAAATAGGCAATATATGACATCTATTTCTGACCAGGAAATACATGTATTAAAAGTAAACAAACCTGCTTTCTGTTCAATATCTTTAAATGATTTTAAGATGCTTTCTAGTTGCCTACTAAGTTCTGCTTTCAAGTATTCTTCTTTAACCAGTGCTGACAAATCCTCACAGAGTGTCTGGGCCACTTTTATCTGCTTCCTTTCCTGCTGTATTTCCTGCTTCATTTTTTGGGCTGATTCCAACTGTTGGTTCATAGCATCAGGGTGCGTGCTCACAGCCAGACTGCTGCTGAGTTTATTATCCAAGTCATTCAGTTTATCGGAAAGGCTTCTCAGCAGGCTTTGATACTGTGTGCTTTTAACAATGGCTTGGTCAATCCAGTCACATCTGTCACTCAATTGCCCTGTTAGGCTATCCCATTTTTGGGTCACAGCTGCCAGTTGCTCTTTCACAATCCCATGTAAAGAAGGGTCTTCTCCAGGTCTGCTCAGAATGCCCTGACCAGCTGCTGTGAGCTGTTCATATTGAGGTTTCCGAGTGGCAAATTCTTGCAGCAGAATCTAAGGTAGCAAGGGTAAATAAACACGAAGTATTATAAAATTGATTGTAGAAAACATAGATTTAGTATCCAGACAGAAATGTTAATTATTTCTCTAGTTTTTGTTTTGTACTTATCACTTTCCTACTTTTTACTTAAAGGGCAGTACAATTATCTTCAATCCAAAGAGCTTTGGTGCTTTGCAGAGATACCCTGTCTAAACTAATCCTATCCTCCTAAAGGGAAAATCTGGACAAAATGAACAAAAATTCATGTGTAAATTTTCATATAAAAAGAGAAACACCACTGTTGAACAAGTTCACACTGCACTTACACGAAATTTGTTTTTACCCTCTCACCTTTTTGTCATTATAGGATTTTTGGAATACCCTGTAAAATTTTACATGAAAGAAAATGCACAGCAATAAAGGTGTTAGAATATATTAACTCACGATGCATTGATTTGCAAAAGTTTTTGTAACATAAGATTTATTTCACAGTCTTTATTATAAAGGTTTTAGCCAACAAATCATGCTGCTCAGAATGTATAGGCTCAACCTGACTCATAAAATGAATGATCCAAAAATTTCATTCTTTTAGTATCATATTTTCTCCATATTTTATCTATCTATCTCTGGAACACTACCAAGACTAGCGACAATTATTTCTCCTCAGATATTTACTTTCATCTTTTGTTTTTATTGTCTTTGGATTATGAACAAATATGAACTCAAACATCTGACTTTCACAAAAATGTATTTGAATTCACAACTTATAAAACAGCCTCACTGCTCTAAAGGCAGTACTCATACATAAAAAAAAAAAAAAAAAAAAAACTAACTGAAACCACCACAGAGCTTCTGCTATTACACCTGACTATAAAAACATTAAACATTAAAAAATAAAACTCAATTTTTGGATTTTTTTTTCCCCTTGTGTATTTATTTGCTTTGTAACTAGTCTAACACTCTGAGTTTCAGGGTTCCCTCTCTGCTTCCCTTATTCTTTGTCCTTTTCTTGTTCTCTCTCTCCCCCCATCAGGACTGAACTGCATGAGTTTTACAAGTTTCATTATCTACCAGCACAATCAAAATAAATAAAACCTCAAAGGAGTAATTTCTAAACAGTAAAAACTATATACTAGTTTCTTGTAAAGATATTACTTAATTGCATTAATACTTCAAAGAAGGCCCTTTTAACAGGATCTGTACCACCCACAATATGACTCAATTATCAGGAAACTTGGCCCATTCATGGGCTTCAAGGAGGCCTCTGGGATGCCTCATAGCTTTAGTTCTCTGGGAATTCCCACTAATATCAGGACAGTGTCTCATGGGCATCTGAAACATTACATACATAGTTCAAAGCAGTTACATAAAATACATACGGACCAACGCTAAGATATTTATAATGAAAACATTGGTCTCAGTGAGTCAAATTGCTGTGCACGAGAGATAGGTTATTAGGTAATACTCACCTGTACCTGCTGCCTTTGTGTGTTTAGCATATTTGGGTCAATTGACAAGGGCCCAAGAACACTGACCATAAGTTCTTTTTCAACAAGCCACTGTTTCAATTGAGCCTCTACAGTCTGGAATTGGGTTAGATTATTGGAGGATTCTTCCAGTTTTTGTTGTCTATCAATTGTTAGTTGATTGAGTTCTTGCCACTTAGAATCTAATAGAAAAAAATAAAACTGGTGTTTGATTTTTTTTTTTTTTTGCAATTAACATGACTATGAGGACTGCATGACATGATTCAAAAATGATATCTAATGGTTATAATTCCATTTTTATGACTCTTGTTACATAGTTAATTAAAGGTCTAACCTAAGATTTTATAGGCTGATGGTTGTATGTCAACTAAAGTATAGGGGAAAAAACTTTGAATCTGATTTTAGAAAATATCGTAGAATATGGAATATTCATTAAAGCAGACAGGATTCTGAGATCTCTCATTCCTTCTAGAAGTCCTACAGAGTGTGTTTATTAAACTATAACTGACCTACTAGAACAATGAACAATAATCCTTTTAATATCAACTCTTCGCTTATCCATTCCAGGCAAATTGGTCCCAAATTTGTATATCTATCCCCAATTATTCTTTCCTATTCAAATTACACATTAACAACCAGCTTGCTGGAAACTTCCAGTAGGAAGTCTCAACAACTAAACTCAACATTAAAAAAATAAAACTCATTATATTCCTCTCAAAACTGGTGGAGTTTTATGACTTTTAGATTTCTTTAAAAGTTTATCTTCTCTCCCATGTCATAAAGATGTAATAATTCAGAAAATTCTTTCATGAGCTTCCTAACTCTCTTATATCCTTGATGATAAAACCTTAAAGCCCTCCTTTACATTCTCAATCCCATAACTCCATTTTGGCCTTCATCATATTTTATTTTAAATTATTTTTAATTTTTAAATTGATATCTAATAAATGTACATATTTTCAGAGGGCGTGTGATAATTTAACACAGTCCATCCAGGTGATGAGCTAACATCATCATGGTTTACCTAGACCAGTAGTTCTCATACTTGAGCTACATAAGAATCACCTGGAGGCAGTTTTAATACAGATTTCTGGGCTCTACCCTGAGTTTTTGATTCAATAGGTCTGGAGTAGTATCTGAAATTCTGCATTTCTAAAAAAAATTCCCAGGTGATTCTGCTGCTGCTGATCCCAGGAGCACACTTGGAGAAGTACTGACCTAGATTAGCAGTCTTCTAACTGGTATCCCTGCTATTAGTGTTTCTCAGCTGCAATCCATCTGTTTCTAAAACAATTTCCCTAAAAAATGTCACTTTTAAAACTGTCACTTCCCTGCTCAAATGCTTTAATAACTAACTCCTCATCACCTAGACGATAAAATCTGAAGACGTTTCCCTGACATTCGAAGCCTCCCACAATCTTTGAGGGTTTGTACTCTGAGATGAATTCTCTAATCAAGCCCTGTTGATTTCACCCTTATAGTCCAAAGAGACTTTTGCTCACACACGCCCTGTGCCTAAGATGCTATACCTTTTCTCCGTATACCACAACCCTGTCCTTCCTTTATACTCCACTGGATTTACCCTCTGCTAGGAAGCCTTTTCTGCTCTCTCCACCCTCATGACAGTAAGCTCCCTGCAGTTAAGTTACTGATCAGAGCACTTCTTCCAGCCCTTCAACACAGTCACTCAATAAATATTCACTGATGGTACGATCAGTTGATTTGAGTTTTCATTTAACATGACACACTAAAGGGACAACTTTAGTAGAAGACAATCAATGAAACCTTATCTAATAACATCATTCTATATGACATTTTCTGGTCAAACACAATCTGACAAAATAATGCCATTAAAGCGACAAATCGGGAGGGAAAAATATAAAAAATCAAGAAGCTTTTTTGAACTACGTATTCCTAATTCCCACTCCTGTACTAAAATATCTTGCTAATACTCTCCTTAGGTAATTCTGATATCCTAGAGGAGAGCCACTGAATTAGGAGCAAATTAATTACAACTTGATAGGAATCTCTATAGTTGGATTAAACGTATCTTTGAACATGAAGATCCCTTAGGGTAACCTTTTTCAAACTAAAATGTAGTTAGAGATTTCTACATTTATCATAGCACACCTGACGCTAAAGGACAGTATTTAGATAAATGTAATGAAACAATTGAAAGTAAAATAATTATTATAATCATAGTCTATACTTATATAGCACTTAATGTATGCCAGGTACTATTTGTTTGAGCCATTTACATTAACTTATTGAATTCTTCAAATGAAACTATGAAGTAGGGAAAATTATTAC